ATAGATTTTTTTTTTTTTAATTTCAATAGAGGTCATGAATTTGTTTCCAAGTCTATACCATTAATTCCCGTTTTAAATAAAACACAATTTAAAAAATTTGACTGTACAATATTAGTTTTTTATTTTTATTATTTTTTCACATTGTTTCTTTTTTAAAATATTTTCGTTTCTTTTAAAATTTATATTATTATCATGTGTGTGTGTGGTTTTCCGTTATACTTGTATTTATTTTTAAATATGTTTTTTTTCTTTTTTTGAATTGACATTCTATAATAATATTTTATATATTTAAAATATGTATGTTTGTTTGGGTGTGAAATATTATTATTGTGATAATATGCTATTATATTGTTCAATAAAATGGACATTTAATCACAATTATATAAAATGTATAAATCTTGTTCACAGTGCATACTTTTAGGCGTGAATTGTGGCAAATATAAACATATGTTAGTTGTTTGTTTTTTTTTCGTATTGTGGAAAAGCATATTTTGGTAGAACTTATAAAAAAATATATATTTTTTTGTTTTATATACTTAATAAAAATAAAAACCATATATTGTATATTAATTAATTATAGTTTAAGTAAATATATTTTATGATTTTATTTTACACAACTTTATATTAATACTATTATGTAGAAAAAAACTATATATATTAAAAATTTAAGTGAGTTAATTAAAAATTTATGGCAATTGTTAAATTCTATTTTTTCTTCGTTATTGTTATTTTGATTATTGTTATTGTTGTTTGGTTGCTATATAAATATATTTATTTATTGCAGAGAGGACAGGGTACATTGTAGAGGGAAAAGTGGTTCATCTGAAGTTTCGGGAGGAGGTAACATTTATATTTTTTATTTTGTGTATGTTGCGGATTCTTTGAAAATATTTATTGCCAGGGATATTGAACCGAAAATTAGACCGAAATTACTTGAAATAATATGTATGTTTCAAAAACCTGCAAGAATGTACATGTTTTTAGTACGTTAACAATTTTTCCTTTGTGATATCGAAAAAATAGTCAAAATTGGCAGAATCTTTATTGATCATATGATGACTTTTTTCGAAATTCAGATTCAGGTATCCTCTGTTCAATATTCACATATATTTGAATTTTTTACAAACATTAAAAAACGACTTATAATAAAAAAGTGGTAATAAAATTCGTTTTCGTTTCTTTGTTTTGTAAATAATTTTTTTAATTATAATAGCAATTAAAAAAATATTTTCAAAGATTCGTTTTTCTTCATCTTTCCGTCCTTCCATACACTTTGTTCCATTCGAGTATATCTTCCATTTCGCATTAAAGTGTTCCTTCATAATGATTTGTTCGTTTTGGCTTTATTTTATTTTTTAGGAAAATGTTATTTTCGTTTATTACATAAAAATAATTAAAAACTATTTTGATTTTATATGATTTGTATAACACAATTAATTCTATGCAAAAAAAAAAAAAAAACAGAAATCATTGTTGAAAAAAATTAAATAAAAAAATCTTAAATAATAAAATTAACAAAGGAAATAATATACACAGAAAGATATTTTTATTATAAATTAAGAATAATAATAAATAAATGCAGTTAGTAAGATAATTTGATTATGTGTTTTTTTTTTCAATATTTAAATTATAATTATTTATATCAATAATGTGATCAAATTTAATGCATATTGTTAGGCATGAATTTTCTAAGGTATAATAGCTTTATGAAATATTAAAATTTAAAAAAAAACCCCAAATTTTCAAATTAATTTTCGCTTTAGAATTTCATTTCAAATTTCGTAAAATTCAAGATATAATTTTCCATTTGCCTTAAGAATTATGAAATGCAATTTTTACATGTAAACTCATTATGAAAATAATAATTTATGTAATTAAATTATTATTTTAATTCTTCGATTTGATTTAATTCTGATTATATTGGGTCTCTTAATTATAGCATTGGGTTTGCATCAATATTCATTACATATTCACATTTCCAGATGCTATTCCAGGGTCTGAAACACATCAGCCTAAAAGTGTGCTCCAGTATTGAACACATTTATTAAATTTTTATCGAATTTTTATTAAAATTTATTGAATTTTTATCAAAATTAAGTATTTGCTACTTTTAATTCACTTCATTCCTCAATAGGTATGCTAAAAGATCCCCTAAAGTATGCATTAAAATTGATCACACATAAAAGTTTCCAGATGTTATTCTAAGTACTTTAAATTGTAAGTTTAATAAAATGCTCTGCACATTCATTGTAATAATATTTTATAAAATTAATAAAAAAAAATGTGGGCGTATTATTCAATATTTCTATCTACGTAATTCCTTTCTAAATGTTGTTGGAGCTGGGTCTTTAACAAATCAGCCTAAAAGAGTGCATCAATGTTGTCGATAAAATATGATATAATATTTTTAGAAAATCCGGTGTATATTTTAAAGTTGTGAGTAACATTTATTTTTTTTTTCACCCAGTTAAATTTAATTTCCCATACTTCTACAAGGCAGCCTAAAAGAACGCTGCACTATTGATTACATAAATTACGCAATTTCAATAGTTTGTCGAATGACATATAGGGGCGTTTTATATTATAGAGACATGTTAATACCTGAAACACCATTAAGGGACAATATGGCGTAGCAATTTTACAGATTTAATGTTGGCGTCCCAATTTCCCCAGAAGGCGCATTTGAACGAATGCATATTTCAGTCCTCATTCTTAATAATTTAAAGAACCTGTAAAGACTGACATCGGGATTCTAAATGATCTGAAGTTAACTTGCGGTTAATTCAACAGGTTTCAAGAGACTTCAATTAAACTGAACTGAAAAATGATTCCTCGATTGAGTACATAATTGTCAAGGGGCCTAGTCCTGATTTAATTTAATCAAATTTGTTTGCAAACAACAGAATTGAGGAATTTAAAATTGGCTAAAGTAAAACAGGCCCTATTGAAAATAATGTTTTTCTTTCTTTCCTTTGGCAATACAATGAGGGTTACTTATGGTACATTACGGAATGTTCGATATTCATAATCTGAATGTAGCCTTCTCCGCCTTTAAATAACTGCCATCTATCGACTATTTCTTAACAAATCATCAATTCTTTGGGCATACATTTCAAGAAAATAACACACTGCTTCTACTGTTAGAGTTCCTCATGAATCAACTGGCTAAATGAAAAAGTATTCTCCTTATGGTAAAGGATCACAGAACTGACATCTATCGATAAATTACAGTGATAAAAGGATAAAGGATGACATCTATCGATAAATTAGCCTTCTTCGCCTTAAAATAACTGCCATCTATCGACTATTTCTTAACAAATCATCAATTGTTCGGCCATACATTTCAAGAAAATAACACACTGCTTCTACTGTTAGAGTTCCTCATGAATCAACTGGCTAAATGAACAAGTATTCTCCTTATGGTAAAGGATCACAGAACTGACATCTATTGATAAATTACACGACATCCATTATTTTTGAAGAGAGAATTACCATGTCCAAATTGACATTGAAAAAATCCGAAGAAATCTTATTTGATCATATGCGACTAATGGATAACCAAAATTATGTAAAATAAATATCAGAGTGGTTAGTGTCTTTAATAATTTATAATTCCCCGGTAGATGGTGTGTTCGCCTGCAGAGACTAGGTATATTTGATATCAAGTTTCAGATAGTAAAATTTAATGCAGTGACTTGTGAGCTATAAAACGATGGTTCAATTCCCCCACTAAATGAAATGCCAATATTCGAAGCCCCTGACATTCCAACATTCAACCTCGGCATACAATACCTGAGGATAACACACACAGATAGAAATGTCAGTATATAGCGCCGCCCAGAGGAATATGGCAACACCTAATTAAGCTAAGACCCCAACCATTGCAAAAATTCAAGGAGATGTTGTTTCTAGGCAACAATAGATTACATCCCCAAATCTTTTAGTAAGCTACAGCATAGGAATCCAACCATTGCACAAAATACAAGGAGACGTTGTTTCTAAGCAATGATAGATGGCAACCCCATAACCTCGGACAGGATACAGCAGACAAATCATCTACTTAGCTGGAATAAAAACAATGATAAGAAAACTTAATGATCAATCGATTAAGATGACGATGTCTTGTGGAAACCCTATGCTCACTGCCAAGAGGAGAAACAGGAGAATAATATGTGTCTTCCATAGGATATTCTATAGAATATATGCTGTCATCTAGTACATATGACTTTTTGTAGGTCTCCTCCTTTTATAGGGATTTTTATATTGAAAAAAAATTTGTATGGGTAGTTTTTGGAAATTATTTTATATCTGCGACTTTGCATATATTTTTTGATGAAATATTATTAAGAGGCCTCTGACAGTCTATAAAATTGAATAGATACAAAGAAATGCCAATTTATAGGATATCTGTATAAAGAAAAATATTTGGAAGCATCAATAATGAATATAAGAGATTTGAATATAGACATTATACATTTCTTATCAGGATCTCAAAATTGTGTGTAAAGGAAACTTTTTTCCTACTGTTTTTTTATAAATTCTTTCATTTCTGGATCTGTGAAAATTTCGAATATCAATTAAATACTTCTCTAAAATAACAGCTAAAAACTTCCGATATAAAATAATTATAATTTTCATATTTATACGGATATATTGCTTTCACATATTTATATAATTTATGTAATAAGTAATTAATAATTTTACATCATATATTATTTGTTATAATAAAATCTAAAATAATAAAAATTCTTCTTTTTTACTTATTATTTGTTTATACACATTTAAAACTTTTGTTTTTTGCTGTTTTGTTACGATTTTGGCAAAAGTTTTCAATATTTATCTTAATAATTAATTATTTGCATATACTCGTATATGTTATGTTATATTAATTGAGCGAAGTGTTTGTGTGTGGGTGTGTTTGTTAAAAATAATACATACATATAATATATTAATATTTTATAATTATATATATAAAAAATAAAAAATGTATATAGTATATTTATAAATTAAAAAAGAAATTAAAATAAAAAACACTAATTTATTCGCATGTACGCGCTCTGCGCTGGAAACGTTTCATGCGCCGATACCATTCATCTTTCCATTCGATAACAATTGAACGTGGACCAATGCCCAAATAGCCAGGTGGGGCTTCTGAATCGCGGCCCAAAATTAAATAAGATCTGGAAGGAAGACGAAAGAAAGAAAAATTACATTTAAAAATAATTAATAAATTTAATGTAAGCACCTTTGGAAGAAGTTGTTCTGGGTTTTTATGAATGAATACTTTTAAATCTTGTTATGGATTTTTATGAAATAGGTATGAAATCACATCCACTAACTTTTAATGAGAGTAATATTAAAATCTTACTGATCTCTAACGTCCTCTAAATTTTAATATAAATGCACCTTAATAACCGCTGCATACTTTTAGGCTATAACATACTAAACAGCTGATTGAACCCAATTTCTCTTCTCTATAAATGTATCCTATCTCAAATGAATAGTTTAGACCTCTACTTACTTATTCATTTTAATTTTGGGACATCTACACTCCAAATTCTTCATCGGAATGATCCAGGTCATAGGACCGCGTCTTAGTATTGTATTCGTAGTTGCGTACTCGAGCGGTGTTCTCTTGAAAATGGCCTGGATTTGTATGATGAATTTCACGTTGCTGTCCTCCGCCTCCTCCTCCTCGTCGCCGTTCCGAACGTTGCCCATTTCCACGCTGTCGGCGTCGTTCATTCTTTGATTTTCTTTGGTGTTGTACTGTTCGCTGCTCGTCACCTCGGTACTCTGTTCCCGTCCAATCACTTTGGCCATTATTGCTAAAAATTAGAAAAAAATAATAAAATCAAAAATGGATCGGGTATTGAGATGGTGTCATCATACTTACCGTAATCTCTTTTGCAAAACTTGTTGAGGTTTAACCTTTTTGTGCTTATCTTGCATTTTTCGCATTCTGTAAAAGAAGAGAAAATAATAAAAAAATTAGTAGATATTCTTCAAGGATTAGGTAAGATTTTTAGTGACAATTAGACGTTAGTTGTTGCCAAAGCTAGAATTAGAAAAGTTAAAACATTTAAACACTGTTTAGTTTAGTTGCCAGAGCAATATATGAAACTTCTCATAATTGATAACAAATCTCATAAGAGCGATGCATGCTTTTAGGAGATCACATCCTAAACAGCTGTTAAGAACTGATTTATCAGTTCTAAAGAAAATGAAAAATCCCCGAGTAAATTTCAGAATACGGTTAGATGCCAAGGCGATACATTATTCGATGCATACTTTTAGGAGATTGCATCCTAAACAGCTGTTGACACCTGTTTTAACAGTATTTGGGGGAACCTTGAGCTATTTTCTATGCAAAATGAAAATTCTCTAAAAAAAGTTATCCCGGAAAGTAATTATAGGGATAAAATTGTCCAAACGCCCTGTTATTTCTATTGAAAAATAAAGTACTGTCGTGCTCTAAGTTTTTTGGTGACGTCCAGTGGACTCTGATTTTTTCTGACGTCCAATGGATACCTGAAGTGAAAAGAGTCATGAAGTCCTGTGAATTTTCTTCTTTGAAAATAGTCCTAAAGTCCTGTCAATTTTTTCTATATTTTCCCTATAAAAACTAGTCTTGACGTCCATGGAATAAAATCCGCCCTGACAATTTTATTGTATACAACAAAAATTGGTCCTGACGTCCGGAGAACTATTTTCTATAGAAAACGTCCTGTAAATTATTTTCTACATAACAAAAGTCAGTTCTGAAATCCCGTGATTTTTTTCTATAGAAAAAATACAATCCTGACGTCCTTAGAAAAACAATTGCTACGGAACCGAATTTTTTTCCTGAAAAAAAATGTCCTGACGGCCTCTCGAATTTTTTTCTATAGAAAAAAATAGTCCTGACGGCCTCTCGAATTTTTTTCTATAGAAAAAAATAGTCCTGACGGCCTCTCGAATTTTTTTCTATAGAAAAAAATAGTCCTGACGGCCTCTCGAATTTTTTTCTATAGAAAAAAATTGTCATGACGGCCTCTCGAGTTTTTTCCTATAGAAAAAAATAGTCATGACGGCCTCTCGAATTTTTTCCTATAGAACAAAATAGTCCTGACGGCCTTTCGAATTTTTTTTTCTATAGAAAAAAATAGTCCTGACGGCCTCTCGAATTTTTTTTCTATAGAAAAAAAATAGTCCTGACGGCCTCTCAATTTTTTTCGTATAGAAAAAAATAGTGCTGACGGCCTCTCAAATTTTTTCCAATAGAAAAAAAAATAGTGCTGACGGACTGTAAAAAAAGTTGTTTAAAGTTATTTTTATATTCCCCATGATGTTAGATTTACGGTTCTTTGCTAATGGACCAAAGCTATTTCAAAAATTCCAAAACAAATTATTTTTCCAACAACATGAAAATTTACAACAAAAATATGTTGTTCATAATTGCCGGAGAGCAATTAACAAATTGAGGCACACACTGTTTTATGGTTGTAATTAAGAATTAAGAGATTACCAAATATGGGAGTGCAACAATGTTGTAGACCCCTGCCAGCCACAAAAAAGGGGCCAAAAGGACGGCTGTTACATGGTCGGTGTATTGAAAATTAACCCCAACCCCTATATGCTTGTTAATCGATTGGTGTTAATAAACATTCAATTTTATTGACTCATTTCGAGCATAAAAACCATCGATCGAGAAAGCAAATCGATCGAAAACATCAAAATTGAAAGAAGATCATCATTGGCATCGGCATCACAACAACCCCCACATCCGTTCAATGGATCGGCAGTCTGCCAGCCAGCCAGCTAGTAAGCCTGCTTAATGGCACATTCAAATTTTCGAATTGTTATGCTATGTATGAATGCGGGGCAATGGCGGCAGTGGCCTTTTCAAAGTCAATTAAGAGGCGTTTTTATCAAAAAACAATGTCTTGCCAGAGGTAGGATCGATCACTCCGATCATTCGAGTTCTCGCCAGTCTGAGAGTTCATTCATTTTGAACACATGACGCGTGTATGATGATCATTGCCGGTTCGGGGAGACGAAAATAGAAAGAAAAGTGTTTCATGTTTTGACTGATATGTGCGTTCGTGTGTGTGTTTTTGTGTTGATCCGCTGACTAGTGTGAATGCCTAATCTTATGGCTCTCGAAGCAGATCATCCATCCTTTTGAAAATGAAATTAAGTGTACCACCAACAAAATATGACTCATTTGTATGAATTTTACGCATTTTATTCATGCTGCCTGTCCGCCGTCGTCTGTCCATCTGTCTTGCTTTTCATCTGCAGGTTATAAATTTTATTTTGGGGAAAATAGTTTTTTTTCTCGTCTTCTGTTTTGTCATCTTCATTATGTTACACAGCAGACAATCAGACGAAAATTCACGCATGGCCATCCGATGATTACATGAATTTTCTTTGTGCTGCGAATGAAAACAGAAAAAAACACCGCAGCTATGTCGAACATGAAAATTATTTGTTAAAAATATCAACAAATTGTTTTTGTTGTCGCTGTTGTTTTGTACTTTGAAGTGGGGACGGACATAAACACCAGGCGATATGATTTCTCCCCTCATTTAAGTGGGGAGCCTGTGGCGGGATAATAGTGTGGCGAAGGGCGGAGAGACCCATTAACGCAATTTCAAGTGTAATGGGACTTGTTTTGTCTTTGTTTGTTCGGTTTTTATAAAAATAGTTCCATCTAAAAATTGTCTACCACAAATGCCGCATTGAAGAACGGACGGACCTTAAGCAATTCCCTTGTAATCAAAGTAATTTTATACATCAACACTAGAATTAAGTTTTCAATTTAATTTGGATGCGATCTTTGTCAAATTAAAAGTGTTGAATTTTATATTTAGACAAATGGGCGGGAAATGGGAAAATTCTTTAGGGGTTAGGGATTTGGTAGATTAAAAATAATTTAGTTTCAGAGTATCCGCGTGGAATTTTTTTTTGATTTTTTAAAGATTTTTTTTTCAATAGGGAAAAAATGAAGTTCGTCTGAACTCTATTTTTCTATAGAAAAACAAATCACAGGACATCAGCAATGATTTTTTTTTATAAAAAAAAAAAATCGTCAGCATTTTTCCGTAGAAAAAATTCACAGCTCGTTAGGACTGATTTTTTTTCTATAAAATAATCACATGGCGTCAGAACTTTTGTCTGTAGCAAAACAATTTACAGGTCGTCAGGATTGATTTTTTGTATTGTCAGGATTGATTTTAGAAAAAAAATATATATTGGGACTTTGAAGCCCCACTTTGGGTATACCTTAACAGACGACACATTTTTGTTATATATCTATATCTGAACCGATTTGGGGGAAACTTGCCAGAAACTAATTTATATTACATCAGTACTTTGTGTCAATCGGCCTAGCTATGGATCTTTTCACGAAGCTTAGCAACAACATTTTATGGACCGGGGTCAAAATTCAAGAATCTACACTGATTAAAGAATGCCAAAATTTCAAGTGAAAACAAACTCTTGAAAATATATCCGATTTATTGTGTCAGCATCAAGTGACGGCTGAAGGGCTTCTCAAACTTTAAACGCGATTTCTCTAAACATTTTTTTGCGAATGGCGGGCACGATAACTCAAAAACTAATAATCCAATTGGTTCCAAATTTTGCAACGTTTCTCTGGGAGTGTATAGCTCTCGTATGAAAAAAAAGTCAAAACTTCCTTATTTTTTAACTTGGTTTTTGGTAAAAAATTGGCGATATTTCCAAAAATATTTTTTCAAAGGTCCACCATTTTGTTAATTTTAGAGCGAAGTCAAAAATCCTTAACACACACTCATTCTAACACCGTTGGAATTTTAATTCAGTGAGGAGTTATCAAATGCCCGCCATCAAAAATAAGGACTTTTCTTTACAAAAAACAACAACAAAACAATAATAACAATTTTTTGTAAATTATTTTTCTTCTCTTTTAAATCTTCAAATATATATGTGCAAAGTTACAAACCATAACAAGCATTGGTATTGATTTACAAGCCCATTGAAAATCTTGAAAAATTAAAATCGAGAATGGGTGGGGTTCCCTTAATTCAGTACTCTATACCAAAATTCATGCAAATCGAAAGGTATAAAGGGACTTTAGTGCCCCAGTTACATAAAATCGGACGAAAATATACATGGGAGCTATATCTAAACGTGAATCGATGTTCACGAAACTTTGCACACATCATTCTAGACTTAATTCAGTACGCTATGTCAAAATTCGTGCAAATTAAAAGATTTTCATGGACTTTGGTGCACCATTTACATAAGATCGGGCGAAAATATATATATGGGAGCTATATCCGAATCTGAACCGATTTTCAGGAAACTTGACACACATAATTTTAGACTTAATTCATTACACTGTGTCAAGTTTCGTGCAAATCGAAAGATATATAGGGACTTTGGTGCACCATTTACATAAGATCGGACGAAAATATATATGGGAGCTATATCTAAATCTGAACCGATTTTCACGAAACTTTGCACCCATCATTCTAGACCTTATTCATTACGCTGTGCCAAATTTCGTGCAAATCGAAAGATATATAGGGACTTTGGTGCACCATTTACATAAGATCGGACGAAAATATATATGGGAGCTATATCCAAATCTGAACCGATTTTCAGGAAACTTGACACACATCATTCTAGACTTAATTCATTACACTGTGCCAAATTTCGTGCAAATCGAAAGATATATAGGGACTTTGGTGCACCATTTACCTTAAATCGGACGAAAATATATATGTGATATATCCAAATCTGAACCGATTTTTCCCAATTTCAATGGGGTTCGTCCTTGGGTCAAATAAGTGACCTATGCCAAATTTCATCTAAATCGGATCATAAATGCGACCTGTACTTTTTTCACAAAGATACAATGACGGACGGACAGACGGACATGCGTAGATGGACTCAGAAAGTGATTCTAATAATCACTAATTTTTTCTTCAGAAA